AAAGCCAACTTGAAAACTTCTGCAAATAAAACGGGACTTTCGGGTATACGAACCTTTCCACAGGATCCGAAACATGCATCTCTCATTGCAAAGGATTGGCTAACTTACAAGAAAGTTGGTGTAGATGGCAATAAAAAAATTCATTTCTTTAATACTAAGACGTATACATGCAGTACTACATGTTAACACATTGGACACATTGTGTTCGGTGGAGTATTAATGCCAACACAGACGAGTGGTTTAATAGGAAATTTGGCATTCCAAGTGGTAAGTAAATTCTTGGCATGCTTTTCTTTTTCTTGTTGTTGTACAGTAAACGGTGATTGAAATATTCCTAAAATTTATTAAATTGTTTGGATGCGTCGACAGAACCCACATTTATTTTCATAAGCCCACAAGACCGATGAAACTGGGGTAGAGCAGATCCGATTCAAAAAAGATAGGAAATCCGGTTTGTGTGGTCCTTCATATATTAGGTTGGAGAAAAGGAAATCCATTATTTTTTCGGTAGATGGCTGCACTGATAGATTTCTCGTAAAGTATCGATCAAACAATTTCAGATTTGTGCTCGTTGGAAAGGTGACATTTCGCAGTAAAAAAAATTCCTTTGCTGTTTTTTGTTTGGTGCATTCAGTTGTGAGTTACAGCGTGTTAAAAATGGAAGTGAACAAAGAGAAAATTCGGTACATTTTACAGTTTTTCTTTGACAAAGGCGAAAATGCAAGCCAGGCGGCTAAAATTGTGAATGGTGTTTATGATTCCGATACTGTAACAGCCAATTATGTGCAATTTTGGTTTCGTAGATTCCGTTCAGGAATTTTTGATGTTAAAGATGCACCCCGCACAGGTAGGCCTGTCGTCGAAAATGTCGATAAAATCGGAGAAATGATCGAAGTTGACCGGCATGTTAGCAGTCGTAACATCGCCCAGGAGCTAAAAATCGACCATAAAACAGTTTTAAACCATTTACACAAAGCTGGATTCAAAAAGAAGCTCGATGTTTAGGTGCCACACCAATTAACAGAAAAAAACATGATGGATCGAATTTCCATCTGCGAAGCCTTGGTCAAACGGAATGAGATAGACCCATTTCTTAAACGGATGGTGACTGGAGATGAGAAATGGATCACATACGATAACCCTGTGCGAAAACGATCGTGGTTAAAGAGCGGTGAAGCACCTCAAACGGCCAGGAAGGTTTTGCTATGCATTTGGTGGGACTGGAAGGGGATTATTTATGATGAGTTACTTCCATATGGCCAAACGCTAAATTCTGATCTCTACTGTCAACAACTGGAGATAGCGATTGACCAGAAACGGAGAGGTGTCGTGTTCCACCAGGACAACGCTAGGCCACACACATCTACAGTGACTCGCCAGAAACTTCGGGAGCTTGGTTGGGAAGTTTTAATGCATCCGCCATACAGTCCGGACTCGGCACCAAGCGATCATCATCTTTTTCTTGCATTGCAAAATTTCTTTAATGATAAAAAATTGGAATCTAGGGAGGATTGTGAAAATCGGCTACTAGAGTTTGTTGCAAATAGAGACCAGGACTTCTATGAGAGAGGCATTTTGAAGTTACCTTTAAAATGGCAACAAATCGTACAACAAAACGGTGCATATTGGACCCAAATCGGACAATCCGAAGCATGTTAAATAAAGTCCTGAAGTTCATATAAAAATAATGGATTTCTTTTTCCCCAAACTAATAATTTGCGTGCACTATAAAGCACAAAATCCGGAAGTTGGGGATTTTATTTCTACAGCTCGATATTTTGGTACAGATCTCCAAACATATTGTGTACTTTCAAGCTGAATTGTGTTCAAATAAGAGATATAAGTTTTCATAAGAAATGGAATTCTGAAAATATAATATATATTATAATAATGTTATGTTATGTCGTTTGTTTGTTTACAAACAAGTAGAATTCGCCCTATATTTTCCTTTTATTTTTTTCGAAATAAATTTCGAAAGATGGAATCGAGGCATAATCGACAACCAAATAGCTTTCACAGTACGTCGTCCGAGTGATAGATAATTAACTATAAGATACATAATCCGTGCCCAGGTTTCCTTTTTTCCATCTTCCGCCAAGTAAACTTTGTTGTAACAAACGATAGACACAATAACGGTTAAGAACAAATAGAGCCAGAATTTCGCGCTGATCCAGAGTACATTTTGTATATTGTCTGGTGCATATTACTAGGTCTTACAAAGAGTAAATACATATGTAAGGCATCCGATGTGTAGCTAAAATTAAAAAGTTTTTTGAATTGAATGTCTCTTTATATAACTAATATTATTACTTTTGAACAACTTGGGGTCGGTTGACGTGAGTTGACTTGGAAAGCTCATCCCACTCGACGATTTTTGCAAGAATTGTTGTTTTGTGAGTTTATATGAAGCAATTGCTATCAAATCGAATAAAGCTTTTTATTAAAGACCAAAACAGCGTTGTATTTGCATTATCATTGATGTGTAAAAAATAACAATATAATGCATTTAAGTGCAAACTAGAAGTGCAAATGAAGACAAGACCAAAACTATAAAACAAAGAAATTATTTACTCTTTTCAACATTTTCCGTTATTAATAAGATTAGTTTGTCTTTAGATTCATTAATTGTATTATATGTGTGTACTTCGATACCAATTTTGAAAAAAATGATATACATTATCGACGGCTACAAGCTCGGTACTCGAGATGTCGACAGGACAGTTCACACGACGCGAATAAGCAAAAATTAACGTCGAGTTTATTCGACTCACACACTTGCATGCATATATATATATCGTTATTGTTGCTGACCTAACTAATTGGGCGTAACAACGACAATGTTCATGTTGCTATGGAAGGTGGCCAATAACAACAATAAAAACAACAACGGTTTATCGATTATACGTAACATAGGTGTCGAAAATATGAACAATGTTAATGTAAACTTCTCAAACGAAAAATTGGTGTTGAACAGCAGGTACAATTTTAAATCGAAAAACAAGTAAGATTGGACATAGCCCATCCTAAATTACTCTAAAACATCCTGCAATTATTCATCTAGGGATCTTTCAAAATAGTGCATTATATAGGAAGTGGTCCGATCTAAACTTTTTTTCAATAGCATTCGTCCTTGGGCCAATTTTAATCAAAATATCACAAATATTGTGTACACAAAAAAACAAGACGGACAAATTTACAGACAAGCGGATTAGATGACTATGAAAATGATCGATATAACACAGAAGAAGAAGAGAAATCTAATCTTGAGGAAGAAAATGATAATACTGATGATAACGACGAAATATCAGGAGGAAAATGAGAATGAATCACGAGGTAGTAATGAACCAAAACTTAAGGGTGAACCAAGTTGTTTTGATGACGGATACGTAGGTAGAGGTCTAGGTAGACCTAAATTTGTACGTACTGCTAAGCCGGCCAAGCGGAAAAAACAATGTAATATCTTGAATATGGTCTACATTTCACAATCTGTAAATGGTGTTTATTCGCGCGCGAACGACTAGGCAAACGTAATGAAAAATGAGAACCCACCTTTATTGATATGGAGTTTGGTTGAATTACCAAACGAACATAAAGCTATAGGATGCAAATGGATATTTATGTTAAAACGCATTAGAGATGGTAAGATTAAATTTTAAGGTACAGGGCATGTATTATTAATTTAAAATTATCCTATCGTTCATGTCAAACTTAAGAGATATGTTGATGCAGATTGGTAAGTAGGAATCATAGAATGATCAATTATGTTCGGGAGTCCAGTTGTGAGCTATTGAATTCTAAAATGTTTTATGCCAAGAACAAACATGGTTGAAAATTGGCTAGATTAAACAAACCCATATTTAAAAAAGTCGACATAAGACATAGATCCCCAATTGTTGATTTTTGTTAAATTGCAAAAAGCATATAGAGAACAAGCCATTTTAAAAAGATCATCACGAAGCAGTGTTAATTTTGTCAGTTTTAGAGCCACTACGTAAACGAGGAATCAGTATTTGTAGTATTACTCTTGCGAATTTAAAACTTGAACAATGTGTTTGCAAGCGTGGGAACAGCCAAGAAATATGTCAAAATAAAGAGCTAGAAATAAAGAGGAGGAATTTTTGACTTGCAAATGCAAAAAATTCCGGTCTTTTAAGTGATCACTTTCTGCAGTAAAAAAATGTACAAGCCTTTGCTCTTTGTAAACACATTTTTAATACAACAGGTGTTTAATACGTGGCAAAACAACAACAAACACAGACCCATGATATTTGTGACAGTTCACAATGCATTTATAACAACAAATGCAAAGGTCTTTGCTATTCGAGACAGTTCTTAACACATTTGCAACAACAAAAATACAGGGCCTTGCTATTCGCGACTGTTCACAAAATATTTGCAACACCAAACACACCGGCCCTTGGTATTCACAATAGTTCCAATATGTTTCCAATTTAACAAACATAAGCGACAGTTCTCAATGTATTTGCGGCAATAAACACACAGGCCCATGCTATTCGCGACAGTTCACAATGTATTTGCAAGAACAAACACACAGCGCGGCCTTCGTGACACTTCTCGTACTTGCTTATTGATTTTTTTCTATACATTTTTCTTCTTTTTTTTTGCAAAGTCCAATGTTGAAAATTTCGCTTCATGATCAAAATTATAAACTGATCAAATTTTAAGAATCTTCTTCTTTTTACAACAATTTTCACTTTATGTAAATATAGGCTATACATATATCTCAGACACGTCGAAAATTTACCAACAGCCGAAAATAACCTACAGTGTGGTGTAGCAAACTCTGATGTGAGTTCCTATTTAATAATCGTCTGTAGGTTGGTTAATCGTCGAAAAACTATGGCGATGTCTTCCCTAAAATTCTAATGCTGCCAAGCATCCCTAAATGCAGCCGAGCAATCGCTGTCAAGTAAACAATTATCGATTACAGCAATCGATAATTTGCATCCGCCATTAATTTATATCAAAAACAGAACATTTGTCCGCATACTCCGCATACATAAAGTAGTGTGAAATTTTTTTGTACATTTTGCGTCGCTTTGAAGAAAAACAAATTTTTTTTGTAATAATTAATTGAAAATTGTGCAAAATTATAAGAAAAAAATGTAGTACAATGTAATTACATGCGACAACATATGAAATTTGCTAAAAATTTCCAAGAATTAAGCGGAAAAAATATATTTAAAATTTCACTTGACACGAATCGTTGAAGACAAATAGCGGCGCTCAATTTTTTCTTTATACGTTTTTGTATATTTTTGTTCCCCTCCTTTGTGCCGTTTCAAAAGTGATGTGCTCTCTCGTTTCTCCCGCTTGTTACGGCCAAAAACTAAACCAAGACCAGCAGAAAAAAATTTTATAGAAACGAAACACAAAAGAAGAACGAAGATAATAAGAAAAAGGAATCCCAAATTACATGAAATGAAATAGAACAAAAAAGAAGAAATGAACGCAGAAGAGTGAAAAAAAGTAGAAAAAAACTTCAACGACGCATGTCGCTCCTTTTTTAATGTTTGCGAATAACATCGAGGAGTAACAAATCTATAAATTATTAAGTGCAAAGAAAATTGAATGAAAAGCAATAGGAATGTTTTTACGCGACCACATGTATAGATCTCAAATAAAAATAAAATAAACTGAAGAAAAAGCAAATGCACAAATATGTTCGCTGTGTTTGTGCCAATGCGTATAAGTGTGTATCTCTGTATATTACGTATGTAAGAAACACAAGTGCTTCAAAAATGTTTTTGCCTGCAAACTGGCGCTGTCGCAGCCAGAGAGCTGGTGACGTTGGCGTTTGTGGAACGCGTCCAGTGTGTCTCGGCAGTGTTTTTAAAGCAAATGATAATTAACGTTAAGATAATGATGTTCGTTATGTTGTTAATAGCAACAATATCGTCCACAATAACGCTGTGTATTGAGCTCTAAGGCGTTTATGCTCTTTTCTGTTCCACATTGTGTACAAAGTGTGTCGTCTAGCAAAACAGAAACAAACTAAACAAAGTGAGGAAAAAAAAAAAACAAAAATTTTTACAACTTCAACGCAAAAATAAAAAAATAATTAAAAAAATTAAATTTCTCATAACAAATAATAAAATTAAATAAATAAAAAAGAGTGTAAGGCTATTTCTTTTAAGTGCGTACGCGACTGCATCAATCGATATATATGAAAGAAAACACCGAACAAATTCAGAACTTTTGCACTCCTTTTACACTGCTAAAAAAAGAAATACTTCCGAAAAATCTCGTGACTAAATGTTTTAAAGGATTAAGTTTTATTTATTTCTTCACAAAAAGTAAGTCTCATTCGTATATTAACTCCATACTTAATAATTCTTCTTGATGTTCTTATTCGTATTCCTAACTGCGGGCATTTTAAGAAACCCCTCTCGCTTACACTTCTTAGCTTTTGCTCTTTGTCTTTGATAGTTGTTGTTGAAATTTTGCTTTTGTTTTGTTTTGTTTAAAAACCGCTGTTTGTCTATATGATGTCCAGACTCAGTCTCTTAGTAAAACTTACTCTCTTTTCACTAAGAAGGGTCTGTTCTGAGAGCGTTTTCAAGGATTAAACGTAAATAAACTAAGTATTTTATAAGCCAATTTCCAACTGAATTAGCCATCAAATAATGAGGCAGTCATATTATCGACTCGTGTTCTGTCGATGTTCTATTCTGGCATATGGAAAATTAAGATTTATTTGCAAACATGTGTAATGAATTTTCATACGCTAGAATAAACTCAACGGCCCGTACTTTGTTGGCTATTCTTGAGCAGATTCTTTAGAAAAAGTATTAAAACAAAAATTATATTTATTTAAATATATCTTCACTTCTTGCATTTTTTACTTCTTCTTATATCTTAAAGCCATCCCCATAAGTTCGTTTCTTCTTATTTCTACCAATGCTTATGAAATTTTCTTGTTACTATATTCAAACGGAATAGTTTTTTATGCGATTTTTTATTAAATTCGAATCACATTTGCTGAGATATGACAGTTTTTTAAGTATTGTGTTGCTATTTTTGTTAGTGGTTATGAATTTCAATTTATTGGAAATTAGTTTGTTAAAGAATAAATTTGAACATAAATTCATTGTTTCAGCATTTCGCACACTTTTTTTGAAAGAATGTTTGTAAAAACGCATAAGTTTCATAAGAAATATTAAGAACGCAACGCTATTTTTTGTTGTTCATTATAACGCAAATAATAATTGTGATCACCTTTTGGAGCCAAGTTTAGCTAAACAATTAAGAGTGCAGCTATGAAAAGGGAGATACAACTCTTTTGTTCTCGCAGAATCTTTCGACTCACTTTCTCCTTTCTTTCCTTTCTTACTATTAAATAACCCCTAACTATTTAATTTAAAATATATTAATAAAAAATATTTATATATATGTAAAATTCTTTAGTATTTTAATTATTTTATCTATCTATGCTTCATTTTTATAAATTCTCTTTATTTTTTATTCCGCATTTAAACATCAATTAAGAATAATTCTTAGTTGTTGTTAAGGCGTTTTGCCGTTTTGTTTATGTTCTCATACACGTTTTCTTTTTTTGTTACATTTTAATCAACTTTACTGTATTTTTATACTACATTTTTTTTTTTTAAATATACAAAGAAAACATATTTGTTATTATTTATATTACTCTGTGTACAAAGGTCTGCGAACGGAAATTCCACTTAAATTCATATAATTTTGTTTTCCTTTCTCTCTCTTTTTCTCTCTCTATCCCTCCCTCACTCTCCATGACTTTATTTAGGCTTAATAGTATTTGTATTTCTCTCTATTTTTCAATCTCTATTCGTTTGTTCCATATGCTGTTGTTATTATTTTTGTTGGTTTTGTTACAGTAATTACAACCGTATTTCATTCAAGCGCGCGCGCACTTTTTGATAAACTCGACATTTGCAAATAGTCATTAAGAAGTTTTGGAGAAAACTTCGAATTAGCAACTAATTTCTGCAAGACGTCAATTTTTGTATACTTTGTGTCTCTTGTATGATCTGTTGTAGCCTTGAGTTAAGCACTTCATGAATGCTGGCTTTCTGCTCTATTTGCCGAATGTGTCTGCTTAATTAATAGTTAAAAAATAAAATAATGTAACTTCTTACAGGAATGCACATATTCATGAACTATCAATAATTTCATGTATTCTGTAGTATAGCAATGTCAACAACCTTGACGATGATATCACTCACGTGTTTTTTATTTTTTTTGTATATTGTTGTTATTGTTGCTGCTGACGTTGTTGTTTTATGCTACATATTTTACTTTCATTTGTAGACATATACTGAATGATCTTTCCCTACAAATTCCGTTACACCATAGACAAGATTTTTTTAAGAAAGAACTGTTCGTCAATAAAAATATGTGTAGGATTTCGAGTGCAACGAACTTAAGGGAAGTTTTACTTAAAATTTGCGGACAAAGTCAAACAAAGCATGGTTAGAAAGTCTGCAGTAGGGACGAATGTACTTCGTGTTTTCAGTTATGAAAATTTTTTTTAATTTACACTTGAACTAGAAAAAAAAGGTGAAATTTGAAATGCAAAAACCGCTCGTGTTTAGAAACAAAAAAAAAAAAATCAAGAAATATATTTTAGGTAGCAATGAACCTCTAAACCATAGCAAAAGAACTTCTAAACCATATGCCAATAATGAAAATAAAACGTTGTTGCAATGGCGTCTACGTCACACAATTTGCTCTTGCACCAGCAAACAACGAAAAAAATAGACATAAAATTGTTTTGGAAGCCATGACTTTTGGTATTGTCAATTTAAGGATTTGCAAAGCTATGCCCGGTATTGGGTTATTTTAACGTATTCGTAGGATGGAAGGTTAAGCAGATATCAATCTTCGATTTAAATTTTCTGCTGTTGATATGAGCCAATGGACGAATGCGCGGGTTGCGAAGTCGTGGAAATCGATAACAAATCTAATATGACCGTTACCGTTCGCTGACGCTCTTTTCATGTAATTGCAAAATTGAAGCTTTGTCGGTAATGAATATAGCCATCCTTCATCCAATCTCCATTCGGAATAATTATTTTGATTTCGCGCTTTTCTTGTTTCTTCAAAAATGTGAATTACCTATCGAGCAGATGTGAACTTTATTATTATATATTTTAACAAAAACTTTTGATCGTATTTGAAAGATTTTCGCTTTGTATTATGTTACATATGGAATGATATTGATAATAACATGGGTACAGCTGTTGTTAGTAATAAAATAATTTTCAAAAGCATTGCAAGCAAAGTTTTCTTTTTTTAAGCTGCTTGTGTCCTTAATAAAAATGATCGATTACGTTAGAAAAGCAATTTCTGAAGTCTATTGAAATTATTTTACGCGCCCGAAAGTTCCCTGGATATTTAAATCATCAAAAATTGTAGTAAATAAAACGCAATTTTTTAATAGTGCACTATTGCAGTCAGTGTCAATCAAACAAAAATGGTGAAAATTGTTTACAAGTGTTTTTTTATTTCTGTAGGTGGTAAGGTAAATGCTCAAAAATAATATACAATAAAAAAAAGAAAGAATAATTAAAAGTTGTGGAAAATCTTATTGTGGTATAATTAGTTTAATCAAAGGAAGCTATTTAACAAACGTTCCTTTACACCCAACTGCTCTTAATAATACTATATATAAAAAAATTTTTTATGATGGCATTTAGCTTCTTCAGTGGCTTATGAGGATAGAAAGTACGCGAAGCGCACGTGCAATCCAGTGCATGTAAGGATATTGCGAGTAACGGCGCACCCAAATGTAAACATAAACTTCAGTGTGCTCATAAACGAGCATCAGACAAGTTTCATTACTTTCACTTTAAGAGCGTTTAAACAATTTATTGCGTCAAGGGGAAAGCTCTTGGCGATTTCTCAGCTGGCTTTCAGAGCCGTGTGACTTTAGCAGCACCAACTATAAAACCTTATTATAGCGTACAGCGTACAAGCGTTATAGTGTACAAAATGGTCGTCTCTAAACCACGTTTTCTTTAAAGGCCGTTTTTGATCAATAACATAGATGTCGTCTCTTATCACCACAATGCCGAATTCGCCAAAAACTAGAATGTCTTGGCGGTGTGATAGCCGCTTGCTTTATTCTTTACGAAAGCATGACATAACGGTTTGATCAGAAAAATTGTTAAAGGCAAAAGATCGGAATCGCACATATTTGATTTATAAAAATTACTCTGCATTAAGTAAGTTTGTGATCGCATTGTTTTGCTTGAACTCGTGATTATTTTGTACATTTTCATTAAATAATAACAAATTAACTCGGTGTTTCTGCCTTATAAGTTTGGTTTAGGAGTATCTTTTTGATTCTTTTACTTGATATATTATCGGTGTACATATGTTTTGCTGCCAAGTGGCTTGAAGTTGTGGCGATTGCATTTGTTCGGTCGCAGCTTGCACTGACTTCGATATTAAACAGTGTTCATGTTATAGGATTGTATTCAAGTCTCCAAACGACAATGTGGTCGAATATCTCGATGTCAAGATTAATAATCATAATGCGAAATGTCTTGTTGTATGTAGACGCAATCCACATAGATGGAACTGTTTGGACGATGTTTGTGAGGCGTTGAATGAGGTCTCGATTTCCTACGAAAACATAATATTTTGTAGTGACTTTAATTGTGATTTGCACTTGAACAATTCACGTGCCAATTAGTTATGTGACTTGATAGCACCTGCTGGGTTGAAATTGATAAACGTTGGTCCTATACGTTATGCCCCGCATTGTGAACCGGCTGTCTTATGCCTTATTTGTGCTACTGACATGACTTAGTCGCACGTTGCCATGATTGTAATATTTACTTTTATATTGATGATGTACAAATTTACTCCTTGCGCCCATCAGGACTTGTTAAATTCAAATAAAACTAAAGCTATTGTAATATCACCTATGGACTGTGATTTCCATCCTTTTAAACTTGTTAAAGTAGTTGATGAAAATATTGAGTTTATTAGTGCGGTCACGAATCTTGGTTTTCAAGCCAACTGTTGCTTGAGCGTGGAGGTAGATGTTACGCATAATGTAAATTACATTACGTTCGCCGTGAATAAATGTGCCAGATGTGTCTCCAATAACGAGATGCAAATAGATAACACAGTTTTCGCTATAGATATCATGTTCCGATCTTCCGGCTTATCTTAATGTCAGACTTCTGTTTGGCCTCCACAAACTTATAAGGTTCTGAAAACCAAGATAATTACATTAGAAAACTCAGTTCTCAAAAGCTGAACAGACGTTAAATTTAATCCTAATTGATTACATAACTTAACACCATCA